ATTACTTGCTCCTTTATTCTAGACACTTGACTTCTAGACTTTTCCACATGATTCCAGTGCCTCATTCTGAGGTCACCCAATGCCAGATGTTTAAGTGCAAAGAACATGCTGATGTACTGGTAGCAACAACGGGGCTTCCCCAACCCCTCCAGCCTTTCTCTGAGACAAGTCCCAGTGAGATCATCACAATCACCCTTACCAGAATCTCCTGCCTTCTCTGTTCTCACAGTCAAAGTATAACATTCAGCCTCTCAAATCACAAAAACTCAAGCAAAATACGTGGTGGAATATGGAGATGTTCTGGGGACACAGGTGCAGAAAAAGGAAAGACATTGGCTCTCTTCTGTGTTCCCTCCCTCAAACCAGCCAGCAGATCTTCCAGTGTGTCCCTAAACATGATTCCTGGTGGCCTCCAGAGAGCAGCACTGACTTCCCACCCTTCTGCTGTGGCTGTGAGAGTCCTGAGGCTGAGCCCTCCACCAGCCCATTCTCAGAAAAACAGGGCAGACTGGACCCTGCAAGGTCCTCAAAAGAGAGCCGAGAAAACATGCCCCCTGCTCTGACTTACTAGTCCACATGAGGCCTAACAAGTGTTGATTATTTTTATTATTGATGCACTATGAAGTGAACTACTGACACATACTACTGTTCTTATCATTTGCCGTCACTCCACTTAAAAAGGGGGTTGCTGGGAGCTAAGAAGAGACACCATTCTCTGTCTCTCTCTCTTCCCTCCCCCCAACAAACCTTCTCCTAACATTTTTACCCATGTTACACTACTTTGACAACTTGACAGTATGGCTAATTCCCTCTAATTTGTACACGTTTGAGATGTGATGCTCTGGGTATGGCAGGTGTGGTGGGGGAAGTCTGTCACCTGAAGTATCAAATTGGTCAGAGAAGATCGGTACTCATTTAGACTGAAGAAGTAGGGAGGGGGGATATATGATAATGAAGCTCTCAGATTGGGGCCATGATAGGCAGAGAAAACCAGCACCTCAAGGGACCAGCACAGCCATACTTGGGCCCCCCAGAGGACAGGAATGGCATTGGCTCAAGGTGTTTACCAGGTGGGTCCCCATGAAGTGCTGTGATTCCTGGGCTGGGGAAGGCATAGCACCCATCTGCCACCTCTAGCACTCATGCCCACCTGCCCCCAATAATGCATGTAATTGTTCTAACTGGGACAAAGCATTTAATCCCATACATGTAAGTAGGATTTAGATTTTTATTTTTTTAATTTATTTTTTATTGATTATGCCGTTACAGTTGTTCTATTCCCCCTTCATTCCCCTCCACCCTACCCCCCCGTCCCCACCATTACCCCCCTTTAGTTTATGACCATGTGTCTCAAGTTCTTTGGATTCTATATTTCCCATACTATTCTTGCCCCCCCCATCTATTTTCCATCTACTGTCTATGCTACTTATTTTCTGTACCTTCTCCCCCCTTCTCCTCCTCCCACTCCCCTGTTGCTAATCCTCCATGTGATCTTCATTTCTATGTTTCCACTCCTGATCTAGCTGTCCTTTTAGTTTGCTTTCATTTTAGGTGTGGTTGTTAATAACTGTGAGTTTGTTGTCCTTTCACTGTTCATGTTTCTTTAACTTCTTTTTCTTAGATAAGTCCCTTTAACATTTCATATAATAAGGACTTGGTGATGATGAACTCCTTGAATTTGATCTTATCTGAGAAGAACTTTATTTGCCCTTCCATTCTAAATGAAAACTTTGCTGGATAGAGCAATCTCGGTTGTAGGTCTTTGGTTTTCATGACTTGGAATACCTCTTTCCAGCCCCTTCTTGTCTGTAAGGTCTCTTTTGAGAAATCAGCTGACAGTCTGATGGGAACTCCTTTGTAGGTGACTGTCCCCTTAGCTCTTGCTGCTTCTAGGATTCTCTCCTTCATTTTAATCTTGGCTAATGTAATGATGATGTGCCTTGGTGTGTTTCTTCTTGGGTCCAACTTCTTTGGGTCTCTCTGAGCTTCCTGGATTTCCTGGAAGTCTGTTTCCATTGCCAGATTGGGGAAATTCTCCTTTATTATTTGTTCAAATAAGTTTTCCACTGGTGGCTGTGCCTTTCCCCCTTCTGGTACCCCTATAATTCGGATGTTGGAGTGTTTAAAGATGTCCTGGAGGTTCCTAAGACTCTCCTCATTTTTTTGAATTCTTGCTTCTTCACTCTTTTCTGTTTGGCCATTATTTGCTTTCTTCTGGTTCACTCCATTGATTTGAGTCCCAGTTTCCTTTTCATCGCTATTGGTTTCCTGTGCAATTCCATTCATTTGAATTAGTTTTGCCTTCATATGTTTGTCTAATTTGTGGCTATAATCAACCAGTTCTGTGAGGATCCTGATCACCAGTGTTTTAAACTGTGCATCTGAGAGTTTTGCTATTTCTTCATCGCTTAGATTTATAGGCTCTGGGGCTTTGAGATCTTCTTGAGCCATTTTTGGTCTGTTGGCACCCGTTAAATATGAGGAGCGGAGCCTTGGACTCCCAGGTCGCTGGGTTGTGACACTGTATGTGGAGGCGGGGTCAGAGCAGGAAAATGGCGGTGCCCTCCACCACCACTTGCCACAGGGGCTGCTGGCTCTCGTCCAATCACCCACTCCCTCGCTTGTCTATCCACACACGAATGCACGACCACAGTTAACCCGCAGCCCTGCTCCCTCGCTGTTTCCCTGTGATTGCTTGATGAGTTGCCCACCAGGTCCAACCCTGCGCCTGGATTCTGCGCGCCTGAGTCCGTCTGACCGAGTTTTCCTGTGCTACCCCACTCTGCCAGCTGCTGGTTTTGCCCCTCTTACCGGTCAGGCTGAAGAATTTGTTGTTATCAGACTTCCGAAAAGTTCAATTTTCTATGTTCTGGCTGTGTTTCCTGTTGCTATTATTAGTTGTCTCTAAACTTGGTTGTGTGAGGAAGCACGGTGTCTCCACCTATGCCTCCATCTTGGCAGAAGTCATAGAAATTTTTTTTAATTGTTTCTAAAGTGAAGAAATGTATAGATTGAGTTTAAAAAAGAAGTTTACTCAGGGAGGCAACTGGAAGGATCTAAATACATACTTTTTTCCCGCATTCCATGAAAAGGACAAATATAGCCTTATTTGTGAAATGCAGGCTTTGCTGTGAAAAAAAAAAAAAAAGGAAGGAAGGTTGTGAGCTAATTCTGGACTCTTAAAAGACAGAGGGAGCTATTTGAGACCAGAGTACTAATGAGATAAAGGGTGAGTGACCCCTGACCTCAAAGAAAAAGCTGACATTTGTCAAATACTCAGTGAAATGCCCCTGTTGAAAAATGAATAGGTTTCTGGTGCAAATATAAAAACATGATAGGTTGTATTTATTATTCTCCATAGTTGTCTATTACTTCAGGTATTTTTATAGTTAAAAAATGTATTCTACAAAATAAAAGTTGTAAAATAAAAGTTCCCATTAATGCAATGGAAAACTGTAGCTGCTACCAATAAAATAATGATTTTTAATTGAGGAAGATCTGTTACGTGCTCACATGGAAAGATCACTAGGAAAAATTTTAGAGCGAAAGAAAGCAAGTTTTAGAACAGTATGTCTTACCCAGTCCTATCTGGGTGAGATACTTTTTTAAAATTTGTATGTATATGTCTTGCTGTATATATAGAATTAAATCTAGAAGAGAAAACAAATTACTCCAGGGAAGGGGAATTATTACGGGCATTCCATATGATATGAATTTTTTATGATAAGCATATATTACTTTTATAATCATAGAAAGCAGGAAATTGGTCCCCAAGCTGTTCCAGGTCAGCAGGCTGCCCAATGGGCCAGTGACTGGAGTTTCCACCTGCCTTGTCCTTGTCTGGCCTTTTTCCTGATTTGACCCTTGGATGTCTGAGTGAGGGGCTGTGACAGATGCCAGCAGTGGTGGTGATGACAAGCCCCAAACCACATTTGTTCCATGACTTCTAGCTCCTCACTGCCTCTCCAGGCTGCAGGGTGAAAGCTCTATTCTGTTATCTGCTCAGAGCAGGAGTCAGAAGTTCTTGTCGGTGTGAATGCAGAGAACTGGGCTGGAAACTTCCTGATAACACTCAAATTCCTTCATAAGAGCCAGGTCTGCGGTCGGGCCAGATGAGCGATTCAGCCCCAGCACATCTTACAAAGTGTAGTTGGATAATAAACCAGATGGAATTGAGTGATTAAGAACCATAAAGTACATACAAAGATGTCATTATAGTCCCGTCTGGTCTGAGAACCCCTCTCCCCAAGCTAAGGTACCTGTCCTGCTCCAAAGTCCATGGGGGCTGCCAAGGAAGCAGCTCTGCATGTGTGAGCCAATGCAGATTTCCAAAATAGACACAGAGATAGGAGGAATTGAAAGAAAATGTAAATACTAGACAAATAAAGATGATCCTGACTTTTCTGAGACACATTTATGGCTCTTAAGAACAGATATGCATTAGTCGAATGGGGCTTTAGGACACCCTGGTGACATTAGCTAAATCTGACATTCAGGAATTTAGACTTGGTAGCTGTCTTACTAGCTTATCCTGTTAGCAGAGTCTGCTAAACATTTTGTGCTGTGTGTTCTGCTTTGTACTGATGCACATGACACACTATCATTTCAGTTCTTCTCTCATTGTGAGGCTGAGGGAGATGGGCATCCGCCCAGGGCTTGCTCCTTTGGCCTCAGTCTGCATCCCTTTTCCGTCTTTCCTCTTCCCTGATTTGGTTTCAGAAAGATACAGGTTCACAAAGAAAATGTTCAGGAATGGATAAACCTGAAAATAAAGTTTAACAAGTAATGTAACTCATTCTTCCCTGCTAAATGCTACTTTTAAAAACCCAAGTTCCCATAAGGAGTAAATAGATAAGAAATTAAACCATTTAAAATTCATTTTCACTCTTCCCTTGAACTGGGTACAGAACAAGGAGCTAATCCTGATGGGGAGAGGAGTGACCCGTTGAAGCATTTGATGTGCCTAAACCACTGACCCAGGTTTGGATTTCACCCCTCAGGTAACCAGGTGACTTTCTCCAAGTCCTCAGATGCATTTGCCTTCGAGGAAGATAGCAGCAGCGATGGACTTTCTCCAGATCATACTCGAAGCGAAGACCCCCAGGGGCCAGCAAGATCTCCCCCAGACACTAAAGCTACAGAGACCTCTTTGACAGGTCCTCCGGGCACAATCCAGGTAAACCAGCCACACCTCAGCCTGTCATCTCTTCAGTCTTAAAATCAACAGTTTTGAGTTGAAACCCAGAAATCTCTCTTGATAGCCTATTACCTCGGTGCCTCTCCTCACACTTTTGGGTCCATGGTTCTGTGTGTAGTGGCAACTACCTCCATAAAGCCCTGAGGGAGAATCCCAGGACCATCCCCCTTGACTTAATTTATGAGCATCTACTCTGCCAAGTAGATACCTTTTATCTCTATTTTTACAGGGAAAATAAACATGAGGTTTACTGAGATTAGATGCCCTACCAACCATGTCCTGAACAGAATGTGCCCAAGCAGGGCTGGTTTCCCAGCCTTTCCACACAGGGAACAGTCACTAGAGGTGCTGGGCCACAGGACGGAGGCCCATGCAGGTCCTGCTGTGAACAGGTTCCTACCTGCCAAACTGCTGCAAGGTCCAATTCCAGCTCCAAACCCAGCACAGCACTCACCTCTTTCTGGAGAGAAACTCTTAAAATGTGAAGAAGGTATATTGAAAATATTGTGAAATGCACATTTATAAAGAACCATGATGATTACTAACAGCAGCCACAGCAGTTCAGAGCTCACTGTGTGCCAGGGTCAGCACTAGCCAGTTCATATGCATTTTCTATTGGCTACCACAGACCCCCAGGTGGAGTAAGGCCCCTCCACAAGGCTTTGGAGCTGTGTGTTATACAGGACACTGCTGTGCCCCTGGTCCTTGGAGCTGCCCCTCTAGAAGCCAGCAGGCCTACTGGCATTTTCCTCAGCCGGCACACTGGTACTCATGGAGCCCTAGGAGCAGGTGTTGGGGTGCCTGCACATGAGGGGCAGGACACCCACTAGTGTGGCTGTGAGATGGGGGTCTTCCAGCCCTGGTTCTAGGGCACACCTACTCTGGAGAGAAGCCTCCAAACCTTCAGTCCCTGCCCTTTAGCCAGAGTTCACTCCTCCAAGCCTCACAGGAATTATTGGATGAACTGAAATTAGACATTACATCTGAAAATATTTTTTACACCATAAAGCACCATACAGTTAACAGGGACAGTTTGGTAATTATCATCCAGGGCCCTGTTTCCTGAAATGGTGCCACTTACTGGTCATTGTCACACCCTGCTTTCCTCCATGGGGGCAAAGCTGAGGCTGCCAGGGAGAAAATGTGGAAAGGGAAGAACAGGGAGACATAAAAAGCAGAGCCAAAATATGCAGCATCTACTGTGCAGGAGCTGGTAATCAAAGCGCTTGTCCTTCCCCTGCCTGCCTCAGCCGTCTCCACAGCCAACCTCTTTGATAACATCAAAGAGTCACTCAGACCATTTGTACTGTTGTTCTGACAGCAAATTCCTCAGCCTCTGATATAGGAACAGTTTGAGGAAAAGACAAGTACTTTTCCGCTAAACTCCAGAGAAGGGAGGAAGGGAACACTGAGTAAAGCTAGGCAAAAGGCAAGGATCATTTTGTTCTTTTGGCTGAAACCTCACATGACAAGTGGAGACACTGAGGCTCTGCAGGAATGGGTCCTGCAGACCTTTGCTTGCAGGCGCCAGGGCTCAGGGAAGGGCTGTGCAGTCCCAGGGGGAGATCCTGAGCAGCCCCTGCCCCTTTTGTCAACGTCACAGCATAGGAATGAAGGAAAATGGGAGAAAAGATTATTACATTTCCTTCCAAGTCTTCTGCTTACAGAAACATGCCTGTCACAAAGGTTTGTCCTGACACTACATGCAGACACACATGCATGTATACAAGTGTGAGCATGTGCACATGAACACACACAAACACACATGCACAGAGGCACACACCATATACATACAGAGACACCCTACAGACCCACACACATGCACAGAACATATCGCGTATCCATACATAGATACATGTACACATATTTCCTGCATGTATACATGCACATGAATATATACATGCACACTACACAGGCACATGCAGCTATATACAGAACACACACATGTTGACAGAGATGCACGTGCACACACATTTTTTTCTCCATCTGCAAACACCCTGTCATCTACTTGTCCCACTTTCCTCACTGCTCTTACACCCACCCCTCCCTCTCCCTTTCTTTTAATCCCATTACCAAGTCCAACAGGTGGACCTTGTCGCAGACAGGAGGAACTCTCACACAGGGTGACAGACATTCCAGTTCGCCAAGAATAGGCCAGTTCTGTACCTGTGTTATGGTCACGATTACTAATAATGACCCCTTTCTCTCCTCAGAATGTCCTCGAATGGTTGACAAGTTGTATACGTGACTCCTTCCCCTGGAAGAAGTAGTCTTCTATATACTTGGATATAAAGATAGGATTAAAACCGTAGAACTGTGTGTGTGTGTGTGTGTGTGTGTGTGTTTGGGGGGGGGTCTCTGCTCTAACATTTCTCTGTCACACAATTGTTACTCTTATATCCTAATAATGCTAAAATTTGGATTTCAGGATCTCACTTCTGGCTCAGAAAATGACAGGAATGACTCGGTCTCACAGCCCAGCAACCAGTCAGATGAAGGGAAGCAGGGGCTTGGGCCCCTCAGCACCCCAAACCCTGTGCATGCTGCTGTCAAGGTATGGATGGACCAGCCTCCTAGCCCTGCCTGAGAGTTCGCTCACTGAGCCGGCTCTGAACAGGTGATGAGTCAGGTCTGGCAACACAAGGGGAGTCACTCTGACCCATGAATAGCTTAGTCCACTAGGAACATCACATGACAAGAGTTTATCCATGGGCCACCAGTGAGTATGGATGAAGATCCTATTACTTATGCAGCATCACATGGGTCTTCTCTGCAGAGGAGAAATCTATGTGTTTGCATTCCTTTGGAATCACAGCTCAGCTAGTATGTTCCTGACTAAAAACACTTCATAAGCTCATCCTGAAGATGGACAAAGCTGATTGTATGCACACAGAATTTGTGAGGACCGTGAAATCAGTGTAGGGGAGCTGACTTATGCAGAGGAGGCAGACCTGAAGGCCTTGCACAGGTAAGACCTGTGTCATCCAAGCCAGTCTCCATACAGATAAAGGCAGGGATTTTATTCACAGGGGACACATAACTGCAAGCATTATAGCATATTTTTGGTTTAAGTTTCTCATTACTATATTTAATAGTTCACAGAGTGTTCTCTCCTCAATTAACTCTATGGTAGTCATTAGCCTTCTCCATATTTTACCTCATAGAATTTCTCATTGGCATGTCTCCTCACCCCTAATACCACCACTTACAGAGTACTGAAATAACTCTTAGGAAATATTTTTTAAGTGATTGTAAAGTGAGTAAGAATCATGGTTGTAGTAACAGCCCCATAGTCCCCTCCATAGCACACACAGAAGTGGCCGGCAGGTCTTTCGGCTGCCCAGTAGAGGGCCCCCACCAAACTGCAGCAGCTTAAACCCAGCTTACAATTCACACAGCTCAATAGCTTTGAAATTATGTGACTACTGATGACATTTATTGATTGCAGGGGGGGAAGACGGAATGATTCACATTATTTCCAATGTTGTGCACAAAGAAATTTTATTAACACTTCTACCATAGTATTAAAATTTCATGATTCATATTAGCGAAGCCTTCAGCCTCAGTGTAGTAAGAAAATGTGATCATTGCCCTCAGGAAGGACAGGTCAGCTTTAATGAAGAGCAGGATTGGCTGTTCACGTTTCTGATTGCTCAATGCCTGCGAACTCTCAGTTATCCAATATTCATCATCTCCAAATTAGGAGGATACTACTAGCGGGCTTCTCAAGGAAGGAAGCAATCGAGCTGGGGAAAACCACCCTGCCGTGGTGACTTTGGAAGATTCACGTGAGGCCAATGATGAAATGAAGAGGAGGGCTCTGAAAACTGTAGCATCTCTTCTGTAGTCAGTGCACATCAAAGCTGCATAACGCAGGACTCCTGCCCTCAAGGAGCCTACAGTCCAGTGGTGTATCGCAGCCCCTCAGTGTTTTTAGAAAGTAAGAAAAACATGCCCCAAAGGACTTGACATTTCTCCAAAGGCAAAGAAATTGCCAATAATCACATAAAAAGGTGTTCAGTGTCATTAGTTATCAGGAAAATGCAAACCAAAACCACAACAAAATACCACATCACACCCACCAGAATGGCTATAGTAAAAAAAAAAAAAGAAAGAAAAGAAAATGGCCAGTGCTGACAGTGCAGAGGGGGGAACTCCCCTACACTGCTGGCGGAAATGTAGAATGGTGCAGCCACCCTGGAGCATGGTAGTAGTTCCTCAGTAAATCCAGTGCAGAATTACTGTGTGACCCAGTTTCCGCTCCTGGGTATGTGCTCATGAGAACTTAAAACAGGTGTTCAAACAAAAACTTGGGTGCGAATATTCATAGCAACACAATTCACAATAGTCAAAAGTTGAGACTAACTCAAATGTCCACCAGCTGAAGGATGGGTAACCACGTGGCCTATTCAGCTATAAAGAGAAATGAGTAGTGATACATGATATACCAAAATGAACCTTGAAAATAGTGTGCTGAGTGAAAAACGCCCAACACAAAAGGCCACATAGTATGTGATTCCATTTCTATGAAATGTCCTGAACAGCCAAAGCCGCAAAGACAGAAAGTAGTTAGGGGTTTCCAGATACTTCAGGGAGCAGGGAATTAGGAGTGACTGCTCAGGGGATACAGGGTTTCCTTTGGGGGTGATGGGAGTGTTCTGGAACACTTACACAACATTGTGAATATACTAAAATGCCACTGATTTGTGTAATTTTAAAATGGTTACTGTGGTAATTTTATGCTACTTGTATTTTACCACAATATAGAAGGAAGTTCCCCTCCCCAGGCAGTCACAGTGCCCCCACAGGCCAGCAGCCTAGGAAGCAGGATTTCAGGCCCCTTCACTCAGTTATTAGGCAGGCCTTGAAATGGATATGCTGCATGAGGCCTGCAGGTGACAGACAGAACTGGGAGTTAGGAAAAGCTTCCCAGATGAGCTGAGGTTTGAGCTGGACTCAAAAGGCTGAGCTGGAGCCAGACAGCAAGTGGAAGCAGGAGCTGCACACAGTGGAAATTTGCAGGGAGAAGAGACAGGAGGGGTGGGCTGTTAGAGAGGGGAGGTAGATTAGGATGTTTGGTGAACAGTCTGCTTTGGCAGACTGGAGTGTGCAGCTTCGCCTTGCAGAGCAGAAGGCAGCTTGGCTGCTGTGCAGCATGGCAGCCCCAGTGTGTCTGTGCAGCTTACAATGGGAACACCTTTGAGATGACAGGCCACATGGTTCCCTGTCCCATTACTCTAACCTGCTTTACACATTTACGCCCAGGTCTTAAGCCACTGGACTTTGGATGCACCTCTGCTTTAAAAAGATGAACGTTCTCTCCTTATATTGGCTGTGCAGTTCTGGGTAGGAAACAGGAAAACAAATCTGCAACCTTACTATCCTCTGGTCTCAGAAAGAGGGGAAACTACACAAGTATATGAATTCAGAGTTCCAGGTGTTCGGTAGACTTTGCCCTCACTATGCAGAGAAAATGGTCTGATTTTAGTATTTTGGGGATGGCTCAGTCCTTGTGCTAAGGCAACATGGAGGGTAAATCCTTTAGCGAGGCCCAGGGCTGCAGCTCCCCAGGACAAGGCAAGTCCTAGCATGAGTTAGAAACAGAAGCTGAGCTGGTGCAAAGCTGGCATAGGTGAGACTGCAGGGCCTGCAGAAACTCTCCCAGGTGCAGAAGTCGGACTCATTAACTAAAATGTTCTTCAATTAATGAGCAGGGAGAAGTACATGTGCTCGCTATTCATTAGCCTCCAAGAAGCAGCCTCCTTGAGAAAAACACAAAAGAGGCTTTGGTTGTGGGATATGCTGAGTCAGAGAAAAGCCTGTGGTCAGCCTTTGGAGAGGTCACATTCAGATGTGTATTTTGTGGTTAAAATGGGGATGCTGCCCAGTCAGAACACAACTGCCAGCTATTCAGGAGCCCCCTCTTCTGGCCACTGCTGGTACCTCCAGTTTTTTCCCAAAGTCTCCAGTCTTTCCCTCCACTTTCCCTCCAGTTTTTCCCCAAAGTCTCCAGTCTTTTGTCCTGACATCCATGTTCTTCATTTCAACCATCTGGAATACAGTCAAGGTTTGAAACTTTGTATTTTTCAACTGGTCACGGCATGGACCTTTTGATTCCTAACATTTGTTGGAGACCTTTTGACTTTAGAAGCAGGTTATAGATGTAATCACACTGTCCTCTGAGACCTATTATTATTATTTCAATGTTATCTAATACTGCTCTTATCTTAGAGATAGAAAGTAGAGAATGTTTTCCCCAACTTGCAGGTGAGGTAACTAAGATGTAGTAATGTAATTGTACCACATTCAGAAATTTCCCTCAGCTTCTTAGCCTGTACCCTTCACTTCTTTCAATGTGTCCAAATCATGCTCCACAAAGGATAATTTCCGGAAAGGCCCTGGTGTGTGGTAAACCCTTCCTGTAGTGAGTACAGTGTCATTCATTCAGAAGGTATCACTTCCTGATTTTATATCAGGGTTTGGGAGTGGAGTGAAACATTCTATCTTACTTTTCAGCCTGAACCAACAAAGTGTCTCATTCTGCATTTTCAAAGACGAGGTTAATGTCATCTAAGTTTATGTTATATCTAAGTCAATTTACTAAGTGCTTAACTAACTGTGATTACATGTGTACCTATGAAAGAACCTTCTTACAAGTCAATCCCAGGATCAGAATGCATCCTTTATTAGGCCATCAGCTGGCTAGAGGTAAGGAAAGTGTTCTTTCTCACTGGAACCCAGACTTAATCTCACTCTACTCGAGGAAGAAAATACTCCAGGAGCCACTTCTGAGATTCCAGACTCCCCCCTAAGGGGTGTCCTCTCAGCGTATTACACTTGTGATGGGTTTGTTTAGGAGATGGCTTGATGTCCTAGAGATTGCACATCGTGCCTTTGCTGTTCTATATTTCTGAGATTCAAGAACATCGGTCCAACCAGACCTCCTCGCAGTATACCCATAGTGCCAATCATTCCCACCTGAAGCACATCCATGTCTTTACCCTTTTGCAGTCCAAGTCCTTGAGTGACAGTAAGAACCGCCACAAAAAGCCCAAGGACCCCAAGCCAAAGGTGAAGAAGCTGAAGTACCACCAGTACATTCCCCCAGACCAGAAGGCAGAGAAGTCTCCTCCGCCCATGGACTCGGCCTATGCTCGGCTGCTCCAGCAGCAGCAGCTCTTCCTGCAGCTCCAGATCCTCAGCCAGCAGCAGCAGCAGCGGCTCAGTTACCCTGGGGTTCACCACGCACAACTCAAGTGAGTCAGGAGGGTGAGGGTTGGGAGCTGCTCGCAGAGGGCTTCTGCCCATCTGAGGCATCATGGGCCAGTGCCTTGAGATCCAGAGAGTCCCATAGTGCATCATGTCCTCCTCTGGTATGTGTAGGATATGACTATTCAGAAACCACGCACACCTTTTCAGGAACCTAAGGTCAAGAGGAAGCAAGTAAGTCAATGCCCCTGAATCAGAAGCCTGCTTGGGAAAAGGGGAGGTATGAGCACCTGCAGACTGAACTGTGGAACAGAGAGGAGAAACCATTGAAGAGTGTATGCTGGAACTGTGAGCAATTCCAACACAGGTTACATTCCTTAAATCAGTTCAGCACTTGTATTTTAGGAAGCCACAGGGCTGCGTGACTGAATGACAACCTCAAAGACTGACTTCCTTTTATTCTTGTATTATAATGTTGTACACCTGAAATTTATATAATGTTATTAATCAATCTTACCTTAATGGATTTAATTTTTAAATATACAAACTCAAAGAAAATACATAAAATGTTAATAATAGTTATCTCTAGCTAGTGACATTATGAATATTTTTTCACTACTTAAAATCTTTTCCTTTCTTCCACAAATTTTCTAAAATAAAGATGTATTACTTATATACTGAGAAAAAAAGAAGACTGACTCCTGAGCCCCAGGGTGTGACCTCCACACCAGGTCACCTTTTCAATAGTCAGTCTCCTCCACTCTAAGGCTGGGAGGTGGGTTTCAGCTGTCTCTTGGTTCAGCGTCAGGTGAGGTAGGTGATTATGCTGAGGACAGTCTCCCAGGCATGCTTCTGCCTCCATGGGACAGTGCACCTGCTAAGTCATACATGAATCTGCCTCGCCCACATGCCAGAGTTTCCACCACCACCTCCTGTCTCCCCCAAGCTCAGCTTTAGTCTCTTTTGCCACCTGCCATCTCACCTGCTGGGGTTTTCCTCACCTTGCCTTTTCTGCTGACTTATTGCTTTCCTGATCCTGGTAGACAATTAACCAGTGATCTGATCTAAATACAGCACCTCCCTAAAGGTCCTGGTCACCCAATTCCATTGTGTGGGGGAGGTTTCCCTCACATCACCAAGTGATTCTCCACCATCAGCTGGGTGTCCAACAATTCAACTTAATTTTCTCACTAGCTCCCTGGAAATAATATAAAGTTCCACAGGTTAAGGGCTCAGTTCCACAAGACTGCCACCCTCACCCCCTTAAGATGCCAATTGCAAGTCCAGAAGTTGTCACCTGGGCTTATGGTCAACCAGCTATAGATCAGAGGTTCCCACAACCTCCTCCTTGGATTTGATTAGCTTGCTAGAGAGGCTCATAGAACTCAGAGAAACATTTTACTTACCAGATTACTGGTTTGTTATGAAAGGACATAACTGAGGAAACAGCCAGATGGAAGAGACGCACAGGGCAAGGTAGGATGAAAGGGTGTGGAGCTTCCACCCCTTCTCCAAGCCAGCCACTCTCCCAGTACCTCCATGTGTTCATCAACCCAGAAACTTTCTGACTCCCAAGCTTTTGGGTTTTTACAGAAGCTTAACAACAAAGTCACAACTGATTAAATCATTGGTCATTGGCGAATTCAATCTCCAGTTCCTCTCCTCCACCTGGAGGTCAGGGGGGAGGGAAGAAAAGCTTTAACCCTCTAACTGCATGACAGATTCTCTTGGCAACCAGCATCCCTCCTCAGATAGAGTCCAAAAGTCGCCTCATTAACATGACAAAAGATGATTTGCACTTACTACTTAAGACATTTCAAGGGTTTTAAGAGTTGTAAACCAGAAACCATATGAATACCAAATATATATGGTTATTTCTTATAACCATAATATCATAATATCACAGCCACAGGTCTAGATTTGACTGTTGCAGACCGCTCTGCCTGGTTTTAGGAATTGTATCTCTACCCCTTGTGGCTAAGGGCGAGGGACAACCTTTGGAGTGCCAGCCACGGGAGACAAAGCTTGTCTCTGGTAGCAAATGCTGCCTCAGTTCCTCTCCCTGCCACCAAAGCTTGGTTGGAAGTCAATGATGGGTAAGGCCCCTCACAGCTGGGGGCAACCTAAGCCAGACTGAATTACATGGGAGGCCTTCATGGAAGGACTGGGGGGGCAGCTACAACAAACAGCAATGGACTCTCGCCCACCCCCTCCCCAGCTTTGACAAAGCCTAAGTCCCCATGTCCTCTGGGAGAAGCACTTCCTGGCTCTAATCCCCTTAAGCCTGAATACCTGTTGGGGAGAGGTGCAGCTCCTTGCCTTGCTAGAGCATGTCCTGGGGAAAAATCTGGCATCACAAAGACTTGCTGATAAACCTGTGAAATCTGCTCTGCTAAGAGTGCTTTCATTCATATGATAAGGGTCCGAGAGGAAATGAGTATGTTTCCCAAAGTTTCTGCAACTCTGTTGCCCTCAGACTCTGAAGCCCTCAGATTTCTTTGAAATGTTATCTACTGTTTGATCCTTGCCCCCCATTCCTGTGTATTACAACCCAATAAAAACCCTGGAGCAGGGGGCTCGGGGCCTTTTTCTCCTCAGAGAAACTGGCCGCTGTTGGCCTTTGTCTCCCCTGAGAAACTGGCCATAGCCCACTTCTCCTCCACCAAGCAGATCACGTCATGTCTTGGCCATATTCACTAGTGTCCGTGGCACACGGGGGGACTCACGGAGAAGTCGCCCCCACATTTGACTATATTTTAAGTGCCTCTTTTTTGTTTGTTTTTCAGGGAACCAAATGAACAGATGGTCAGAAATCCAAACTCTTCTTCAACACCACTAAGCAATACCCCTTTGTCTCCTGTCAAAAACAGTTTTTCTGGACAAACTGGGGTCTCGTCTCTCAAACCAGGCCCACTCCCATCAAACCTAGATGATCTGAAGGTATAAAATTTGGCATGATTTTCTTCTTTTTTCTTTTTTAACAAATACCTCAGTACATTGTCAATAACATTTTGACCAACTGATTTCTTGTACAGAAGAGCAATTTGGAGAAGCACCAGGGAGGGACTCAAGGAGGTGAGAGTGTTAACTGCCAGGGTTGAAGGCCCATCTCAGCACAAGGTTGGCCATGCAACCTTGGGCTAATTTTTTAATTCTATTGAATCTCAGAATCCTCATTTGCATAAGTGACTGATTGTGAAAATCAAATGCAATCGTATATACATGACACAACCTAACCCAGAGAACAGCTGAGGGGCTGACATGAGCTCTCAGCCAGAGGTTAGTTCCTTGGTGACTTTTCACCAAGATGATGAAATGACAAAATAAGAACCATGTGGAGGGCTTTTCATAAATCTAAGCATGTTCAACAGATTTGACTAATCTTTATTCAAAGTAGTTATTTTTCTCTCAGTGTTTTAATGCTAAAAGATACTTTCCAGTAGGAAATGATGAGAGTACATGAAAGCTGAGTGTTTCTTAAAGAGTTGTGTTTCTTTTTATTAAAAGAAATATCATTAAGTAAGAATTTAGTCTTTATTTATCAAGATAAAGTGTTGGTAACTCTGTGTCCATTATATGACTTAACACACTGCACTATTTTAGGAAATCCCCCAAACTGAAACCTTCTGAAATGTGCTAGTGATTTGCTCTGGCTCACAGAGCACATGAACCTCAGGTTATTGAAATGACCCTGAGCTTTGAGTTGAACCCAGTACACTTTGGAGCGATCCTCAGGATTGCATGTGCATTCATCCACTATTAACGGAAGAACTGGAAACTATGAATGCAGTGCCTTCAGCTTCTCCAATGTGTGAGCACCCATGCTCCCTGCAATGCCTCACTCCATTTTCAACGATTACACCTGTTTACTTGGCTTCCGCCTCATCGACTATTCTCCCCCAACAAAGGATCTTTTCATCATTTCCAAAAACCTAAATTCATAAAAGTCCCCATGGTCTTCACTGTGCCAGTGCGACAGCGCTTTCTCAGCCCTCACTGGCCACTCTCATTCCGATTCTCAGTCATTATCTCCTTTGGGGGGAGGTACGATGAGATTGTTTCAAAGGAACGATCCATAAAGGAAATTCTATGGCTGTCAAGTGCCAACACCAGGAAATAAAATGTATCTTGGTTCCTCTATTCCTTCCACTTGAGTACAAGAGCTTAGGTTTAAATTTGGCACCCATAGCCTGGAAGAGGGTGCCAAGCATATGATAATACTCTCCGGAGTGGCAGGTTACTACCTTCTACTCCCCAGATCATGAATCCATAGAGGTTAAAAGCAGGCTCTCTCACCTTGAAAATAATATTACACTAAGTGAAATAAGCCAGACACAAAGAGACAATTATTGAATGAGTCTACTTATATGAGGTACCTAGAGCAGTCAAATTTAGAGACACAGAAATTGGTGGCGGTTACCAGAGGTGGGTGAGGTGAGAATGGGGAGTTAGTGTTTAATGGGGAGAGAGGTTCAGTTTGAGATCATGAAAAGGTTCTGGAGGTGGATGATGGTGATTTTTGCCCAACACTAAACTGTACATTGAAAAGTGATTAAGTGGTAAATTTCATGTTATATGTCCTTACCACAATAAAAAAGATTTCTTTTTAAAGTAGTCTACCTCTGGGTAGGAACCTGGGTCAGGTAGAACTGGAGATGCCTTGGTCCCAGAACAAACATAGTCAGGTGTGACATGCCAGCTATCAGAACCCCCGGCATGGTGTCCACAGGGTCATCGGCTGGTTGTAGCCATAATAATTAGCATAGGTACTAGGAGATGATGATGATGGTGGTGGCAACTACCATTTTTAATATTAACTATCAATCATCCATTTTACTTAGATTTGTTTTAATTTTTATGCTGCAAGACAAGTTTTAAATGTGAATATAAAACTGCAAATCTTAAAGAGGTTCAATAATATGCAAGTTAACCAGTTAATAAATGACAAACCTGGAACTTGAACTTACATGACTGATTTCAAAGACTTTGCTACTTCAGAGGGAGGGACAGACAGAAGAAACCTTAACTGGACTTCACCACTGGTATGTGGGAGAGGGTGGAGGAAAAAAACCTTCATCCAGTGCACCTGGCAGGGTTACACCAGCAGCAAAAATTGGGAGGGTAGCTTGAGGAGCTGATCTGAAGGGGTGTTGGCAAGTTCATACAGTCTGGGAAAGTTGAGTTGCAGGTACCAGCAGGACAATGTAGAGAAAAAGTTATCCGCTTTCCATGAGTTTGTTAGTTTCTCACTAAACACTTATAAGCAGTAATATTCCAGTCTGTCTTTTTGTCTTTATTTTATAACTTGAGCTGCAATATTTAATAATGTAGTTTAACTTATTCAGTGCCAGAACAGATTCTAAAAATAAATACAGAATTTGTTAATTTAAGTAATTCAAAATTTAAACAATGAGTTGCCATTTTGTACTTTTTCAAGCCAAATCTAAAAGAAAATAATAAAAATAATGATAGCAAGACTGGGGTAAGGGAGGAGAGCACATTTATGGCTCGTGGCAGTGTAAGTTGTTGCAGATCTCTTAAAATAACTTAGCTGAGTGTAAGGTAATATATATTCATTATTGAAATATAATAGGATGTAGAGAAATAGAGAGCATTTTAACAGGTAGTTGACTCACAAATAGCATTACAGATTATACTTCCTTCTACACTTAAAGTGCACATGGACATTATTTTGTTTTAAAATAATTGTGCTAAAATAACTATCTGAGCATACATTTCTGGCATGCTTTGTTTAACACATGAACATTTTTCATAATGCTTAATAGTCAATAATTTATAAAATTTTAATAGCAGCATATCATTTCAGTGATTCTGGTCCTGCTCAGGTTTGAGAATCACCCATTGATGTGCATGGGGAGAGTGGGAGGAAGAGCACCAGAGCGCCAGCACATTTCAGGATGACTGGTGCCCCTGATGTCTGAACTTAGGCAGATGTCTGTTTTCTCATCCGTAAAATGGGGACAAGGGACAGGATTGGACTTGCGGGGCAGCACGGTAGGTGCCTCTGTGGTTCATTTGAGCTCAGCATTTCTGGGCTATGTCTCTGGTTCTGGAACCATGAAAACATGGTATATGACATCTTTTAAGAGCATTATTAAAATTGTGCAAAACTGATTTATATAGGTGCAGGGGAGGAAGTCACAGAGAAGTACTACAAAGAGACACGGACATTGTGAAATTCTACTTGTGATATTTTCAAGTTAATGTAATAATAACTACAATTTTTAAAACATCATCATTAAACAGCACACTGACAGTGTCCCGCTTTCTTCAGGTTTCTGAATTGAGACAACAGCTTCGAATACGAGGCTTGCCAGTGTCAGGCACGAAGACGGCCCTCATGGACAGGCTTCGGCCCTTCCAGGACTGTCCTGGGAACCCCGTGCCCAACTTCAGCGATATAACGACCGTCACTTTTCCTGTTACGCCCACCAACGCCCTGCCCAATTACCAGTCCTCCCCTTCCACCAGCGCCTTATCTAATGGCTTCTACCATTTTGGCAGCACCAGCTCCAGCCCCCCCATCTCACCTGCCTCGTCAGACCTATCGATGGCCGGGTCCCTGCCGGAGACCTTCAATGACGCGTCGCCCTCCTTTGGCCTCCACCCGTCCCCTGTGCACCTCTGCCCTGAGGAAAGCCTCATGAGCAGCCTGAACGGGGGCAGTGTGCCTTCCGAGCTGGATGGGCTGGACTCTGAGAAGGACAAGATGCTGGTGGAAAAGCAGAAGGTGATCAATGAGCTCACCTGGAAGCTGCAGCAGGAGCAGAGGCACGTGGAGGAGCTGCGCATGCAGCTGCAGAAGCAGAAGAGGAGCAAGTGCTCCGAGAAGAAGCCGCTGCCCTTCCTGGGAGCCCCCATCAAGCAGGAAGATGCTGTCTCCAGCTGCCCATTTGCATCCCAACAAATAGCTGGGAATAGACAAAGCAACAGCTCAGACAGCCCAGCACAGGCGTGTGAAGCTGCTTCACTCCTCCTGCCACCTGGGAATGGCCACTGTGTGGAGTCCTCTGGTCAAACCAACATTCTTTCTTCCACGTTTCTCAGCCCACAGTGCTCTCCACAGCACTCGCCACTTGGGGCTGTGAAAAGCCCACAGCATATTAGTTTGCCCCCATCACCAAACAACCATTACTTCCTAGCCTCGTCTTCAGGCACTCAAGGAGAAGCGCACAGGGTCTCCTCACCTGTCAGCACCCAGGGGTGTACTGCACAGGTAAGAGCTCCTAGCTCTATGCCCAAATGTACCCCTCCTCCTGGAAATGGGATATAGATTTGCAACACTAAAGAACTGATGTTGCTCCCTAACTGGGAGGATCAATGGTTGAAGCGTCATCCAGTGTACCACAGGTTGTGGGCTCAGTTCCCTGTCAGGGCACATGCCTAGGTTGCGGGTTCCACCCCTAGTCAGGGCACATACAGGAAGCAACTGGTTGATGTTTTTTGCTTGTATAGATGTTTCTCTCTCTCTCTCTCTTTCTAAAATCAATAAACATTCTCAGGTGAGACTTGAAAACAAAAGAGCTGATGTTGGAACTTTCAATGGGAAGTGTTTATCAAAAGTGCAACAGTAACTCCCAGACACCAAGACTCTCAGGCCTTCAGAGTAGAACAACTGGCTTCTCTGAGACAGGGATCAACACACTTGTTCTGTAAAAAGCTAGATAATACTTTTGGCTTTGTGAGCATTATAGTCTCTGCCACAACTACTTGACTCCACCCTATAGCACAAAAGCAGCCATGGACAACTTATAAACAAATGCATGCAGCTGTGTTCTAATAAAACTTTATTTACAAAAAAGCAAGTTTGGCTCACAGAACTATAGATTGCCAAAACCTGTCTTCAGGATTTCTTACCCTAGATCAAAGCAATGCTTTAGGAGAGCCAAATTGGGAGTTAACAGACCTTAGTGCTCTCTCGGTATGGTTGTCTACAGAGAGCAAACATTTACTGAGAACCTACTGTGTGCCAGGCCAGGCCCTTTTCTAGTCTCTGGGGACTAGTGCTGAACTAGCCAAAACAACAATAATAACAACAACAACTCTATCCTCATGTGAAGGCAGACAGCAAATTTAAAAAAAATAACTAAAATACATAATGTATTAGAAGATGATACATCCTATGGAGAGAAAGCAAAGAAGGAGAGTAAGGAGTTTGGAAGTTTGCAACCTTAAGTGAAAATAAAAATTCCAGGAACACTTGAGCAAAGGTTTGAAGGAAGTAATGGGGAAAGCCTCGTGAATATCTGGGGTGAAGGCATGTCAGGTGAAGGAGGAAGAGCAAGGGCAAAGGCCCTGAGGTGGGAGCATGCATGTAATGTTCAGGCATCAGAAAGAAGGCCAGTGTGGCTGGAATGAAGTGAGAGGAAAATTGTGGGGGATGGCCCAGAAGAGGAACCATTTCAAAGACTAAACCAAGGTCATCATCAAAGATTTGGCTTTGTCTATGAAGCCAAAGAATTATTAGGAGCCTCTATTTGAGTTTATCTGAGAAAGAAAATTATATTATCAAAAGGTTCTGAGCTCTATATCATTAGAAAGGGAATAGGAAAAAGACTCTTATTAACTGCATTCCTTCCATTTATATGTATGTCTATGTAATGTATGTATATCTATGTATATGTATATGCATGCCTATGAGACATGTATATGAGCAATCTTGTTCATCATTGCAACAATCTTTTGGTCTTCAAGTCGTTATTCTTTATTTGCCACTCAGGAAAATGTGGTTCAGGGAAGTTAAGCCAGTTGCCCAGGGTTGCATGGACCTGGAACTATCTGATTATAAAATATAAACTCTTTTTACACTGAATATTCTCTATGCTGGGAGTATAAGGTGTGGCCATAGGTAATGAGAATATATTTTTACAGACCTGGTGGAACAACACATTCAAATTAATGATGCTCACCCCTGAATTGGCACTTTGGGAGGTGTTGGGAATTAAGTGCATTATCATCATCATTGATAACATTTATTGAATGCATTGTGATCTGGGCAACTAAGGCAAAAGTAACTCATTTTACTCAGTGCTGGATCATAAGACATTCAATTCTAATGATATAGATACTCTCAAGAAGATTTAAATTTATACAGTAATTTATGGTTTACAAAGCACTCTTTAAAGACAGGAATCATTACATGATAAAAAGATATTGAGCAATATAGGATAACATTACTGACCCGTGTTTATGACCTTGTGGTGGAAGTAGGGGTTGCAGACTGATCATGAAGGGATAGAAAAGTCCAGGAAGTCTTTAGGAAGGGCTTAAACATAAGTGGAAGTGTAGAATTAAAAAAGGAGAGTCAGGGGAAAGGCATATCATGAGAAAAAGGGGTAAGGAGGTAGAATGTACAGGGCATTCTCAGGAAAGCTCATAGAAGGATTAGCAGAATTTAAACTTGCAGAAGGAACTAATACTTGACTGTGTAAAGTTTTGAACACTAACTTTGGCTAGAAGTGGAGACCCCATGATGTGGATATGTGAGAGCCACTGCAAATTTCTGAGCAGAAAGTGGTACATACACAGCTGGAATTGAGACTTTGGTCATAGACTTTAAGATAATATGCCAGAGCCAGTAAAGGCTACTCTCAAACATACCACAGGTGGGCATTTAATCTGTTGCTTCTTTCTTTCGACAGAGCTCAGGAGTGCACGAGGGCCATCTTCCAAGCTTCTCTCCTCAGCCTTCCAGTCTCCACCACCCTTTCTCTGGAGCCCCAGCAGACAGCAGTCATGGTACTGGGGTAGACCCTCGTCCCAAAAGCCCAGGTGTACAGCAAAAGGTAGGCACCTGCAGAAAGGTTTAAACTTGAGATTGACTTTGTCTCTTCTTTCTTCTGTGGCTTTTGTCCTCCCAATTATGAGGTTCAAAGCTGACATAAATGACATTTTAGATAGAAACAACTACCCTTGAAAAGATCTCAAAGGGATGCCCAGGTACTCCAATGAGTCATTTCCTGGGATCATTCCAGAAGTCACGATGACTAAAAATGATGATCGTATGTTTGTGACACTGCTTGGCAAAGAAACCAGCTTTGGTGAAGTTGAAGATTGAATAGGGGAGCGTGGAAAAATAATGCTGGAGAAAAAGTGAAGTACATGGATCTGTGGCAAGGATTGGAAGGATACAGAAAGCTGGGGTCACAGTGCAGAAAAAGGAAGAGATGGTACATATCAGCAGGTGGAAGAATCAGGGACGTGAAGGTCCCTGGGTATGGGGAGCTCCAAGAAGCAATGAAGAGGTGCTAAGGAGGAGCAAATATAAGATGGTCATGACACAAAAGTGCTACATACCACAAGCCAGGGCAAGGCATCTTTTGAAAACGGAGACCCCAAAATGGCCCAGGCAGAGCACAAACCCACCACAGTACACAAGGCTGGTTCTTGAAGGAATTTCCCCAGCAGCATCTCCAACTCTCTGTAAATACACCCAGTTAGGAATGAAACAGCCTAGAAGATAAATTACTCCAGAAACTCCTGGGGTGATGGACCTCTTTGTATTGGACTCTTTTACTTTATTTCCTCTCCTCATCATGCTTTCTCCTAACCAGAGAGGGTATAACTTAGAGATGAATCTGTGAGGTTCTCACCAAAGATGCCTCCAGCAATAAGTCCGTGGTGATATATACTGTTGGTAACATACTGGATTTGTTTTCTAAGTGCTAACTCCTTTTTCCCCCTCAAATCAATTTTTCCAAAATTTAGCCTGTAATTCCTAATACAGAAGTAGTCCCATTTCTGACTCATGAATTGATTGTCTATTTCTGCATTTTACTCACACAGATGGCTGGTCTACACTCTTCTGATAAGGCAGGGCCAAAGTTTTCAATTCCATCCCCAACATTTTCTAAGTCAAGTTCAGCAGTTCCAGAGATAACACAGCCTCCATCCTATGAAGATGCAGTAAAGCAGGTAACTGTGTGAATTGTTCTTTATAGAAGTATGTGATGGCTACATTGGACCTTGTATTATAGGGTGCAACTTCATGCCTGTGGGTTCCAGTATCAAGTGCATCTGGTGTCTGCCCACCAGAATGGACAAAGTGTGTAGGTGCTAACTGTAGAAGGGTGCTGATGTGTATATAAGCTGTGTGAGGCTGAGGGAAAAGGTTTGTCTGGGCACCAAGGTGGCTGGACTTGGTGCCAGCTGTGCCCTCAGACAGCTACCTCTGCTGCTAAGGCTGGATAATGCTCAACTTCTGTGACACGAAATAGGGCTGATATCTCCTTTGTAATGGTTCTAGGTAATGTAGCGCTTAACACCTCATTCGGGCGCAACTCAAACCTATGTGAGCAGTTGTCAGGATGACACTTTATAAGGTCCTTCCCTGCTTCAGATTTCACTGTTCCTGGCAAAATGTTGATGGTTATTGAGCAGGGTGACAATGGAGGTTCATTGTATCTTCTACTTTCATTTACGTAAGAAAATTTTCAAAATAAAAGGTTAAAAAAAAGCAATTAATGATCTTATATTCCGAATGACCTGAGTTGGTATCAAGTAATGGCTAGCCCTTCATATTTTGCAGAAAAAAGATCTGCATCAACTCCTGAATACTGGTACCCCACCATCACATCAGGTTTCACTTGGCCTAGAAAGTATTTTAAATATTAGGAGATTTTAAGCAAAATGTAGGCTTTGTATTTCTGAAAAATTAGGGTATCTGGCTATACTGAGGCCATGATTCTGCCAGAAAACAATCACCTGAAGCAAAGATTTGCTGCCTCCTCGAACCATAACATGCATTTTACAATCTACCCTTCTCCTTTGTTCTATATTTGGCCCATTCACATAACCTGTCAGACCGCATAGGCATTGAATCCTCCTGGGCTGGCAAATGACTCATTGAGCAGTGCTCCCATCCATATTGATTATTGACACCTATGTTTATTGGGCCTGCAGTCTCAAATGAGTGAAATCAGTCTGTTCTCACCCTGGTATCTGTGAACATCAACTAATCCTTCACAGTTTCAAAAGAAAAGAAAAAGGCCAAGCAAAGTGGACTTCCATAAATAAGACTCTACTTAACTCCAATGAGCCAGAAGGGAGGGGTCCATTTCCTCCAAGTGTTGACAGGTTCCACAAACTAATGCAATGAGGAACTAGAAAAATATGAGCCACATTCTTGGAATACATTCACTTCCAACTGGAATGAAGGGCCAAAACCCAGTTACACCCATGTTCATAGCCACATTAGTCACAAAACCTGAAAGGTAGAAGCAACCCAAGTGTTGCTTCCTCACAAGGACAAAGAGAACATTGTATAGACAGATGATGAATATTATTCACCCTTAACAAGGAAGGAAACTCTGACATGGATGAACCTTGAAAACAGTATGCTAAGTGAAAAAAAAAGTCACTAAAGGCAAAATACTATATGTGAATCCACTTATATACGGTAGCTAGAGTAGTCAAATTCATAGAGGCATAGGAAGTAGAATGGTGGTTTCCAGGTCTTGGTAGAAGAAGGGATGGGGAGTTGTTGATTAATGAGGACAGAGTTTCACTTTTACAAGTTGAAAAAGTTCTGGAGATGGATATTGGTGATAGTTGCACAGCAACATGAACATACTTAATAGTGCCACTGAACTGTGCTCTCTAAAATGGTTAAGATGGTAAATTTTATGTTTTGTGTATTTCACCACAATGAAAAATACAACTAACCAAGTCTAGTTCAAAAGCCTGTAGTGCTGCTTCTAATGATCTCCTGTCTAAGAGGTAGCTGCCTTCTGACTTCTCTGACCTCCTTCGGTTAATTTGTAACAGCAGATGACTCGCAGTCAACAGATGGATGAACTCCTGGATGTCCTCATTGAGAGTGGAGGTGAGATGCCATGTGCCTTGCCCATTGGGATGCTCTGCTTCTGCATGTCCTCTAGGGAGCAAACTCGAATGCTCACTCTAAATGGGACCAAACCTCTATGGGAATAGTGGTCTCTCCATTTGAGCTTCCTGTCTACTTTGAGCAGATAAAAGAAGGAATTAGTGGATGATTCCTCACTGCCTTTGTCTCTTTGTCCGAGAAACACTTTCACCAATAGTTTCAACAGATTTCATGTTTCAACTCAGTGCCTATTTCCCTAATGTTTTTATTGCTATACTGTTTCTCTCTACTGTTCTAATGCCAATGTCCATATCTTCTTAACTAAGAAGAATAAAGCAAGCGTTTGTGCCACCTACTCAAAATGAAATTTAATTAGTAATGCCCCATTAGATGGTCTATTCATGCTTAAGTATTCAAGCTAGCAATAAAAATGATCAATATATTATTTTTGCCCTATTTATTTATTTATAATTACATAGTATATGCATAGAATTTGAAACCATACAAATGAATAAGGTCATGTAATGAGTAGCTGTTGATAGAAAGGGAAAAACCTCAGGTATGACCCTTAAGTAACAACACAAAGTTTTAGAGAAAGAGTGTCCAGGTGGCTGGCTCAATGCTGTGCTAGACCAAGTCCCCACCTCTGCAGAGTTTGCAGTCTGGTAAGACATACTGACAATGAGCGAGTGAACAGGGAGGTCCTCCACTGTAACAGAAGAGAAGAAGGCAAAGATGGGCACAGATGTGGGTATCCTTATAAGTTTTATGATGGAAAGATGAGAAGGCTCAAAGTAGACACCTTTTATATTTTAAGTAAAATATGTGGTGAGGTCAGCAAAGAGTACATGTGCAGGAAGGGGGCATGGGGGATTTGAGGAAAGAAGGAAAGTTATGAATCAATCGTGAATTAATTGAGTTTTCCAGAGAAACACAGTAGATTGCTACACCACTGATTTAAAAGGAAACCAGTCAGCTTCATTGTGTAAGTTTCCTCTTACAATGTCCAGCTGATCCAGGGCAGGCTCAGAAAATACAGATTGTAAGATTCACCCAAGTGTGGTGTTTTGCCAGAGGAGAATGGTGGAAGGGAAAAGCACAAAGATATAGAGGATATTTATAAAATAATAATTATAATGGTATACCAGAGTATATAGCCTGGACAAGGACAGAAATAAAAACCAGAAGCGACTCATGGATGGCGATAAAATAGTACAATTGGTAGCTTAGAGTGACTCCACGTGGCGGAGAAGTTGTGTTTGGGTAAGCTGTAGAAAAAGGAGGAGATGGATTGAAGGTGAGAAATTCTGGTTGAAATTGAGCTTTCAGGGGAATGCAGTATTTGGAAATGACAAGGTCCAGCATTTGTCCAAGAGTGAGGTTGAAGGAAACACTGAAATTGAAGGCAATGGTGGTATCAAGAAACTGAGAGGCCAGGTGGACATTGGGTCATTTCTGAGGATGCTGAAGCTACATGGAATGACAGGAGTTGATGTGGGGAAAAGACAATAAACTGGGGAACAGTTTTCAGTGGATGAGGAAGAGTGGCCAGGAAGCTGGGCTGGGGTGGGATGGCAAGGAGGGCAGCATGACCCTAGAAACCACTGAGGAGTTATAAGAAGGTGAGGGAGTGACAATCAGAGAGTGTCAGCAGGTGGCACCCAGGAAGACTCACTTTCTGGCTCTGAAGTAAATGAGGCCACGCTGAGGGTGTAACAGAAAATGCAATGTCCTCAGAGGACAGCCAGATGTCAGTGAAGGAGCAGGTAAAGGGAACTATTTTGAAAGTTTAATAAACACAAAGTGAAATTTCCAGGAAAAAAAGGATTTGGAGAGAGACTGGGGGCAGGGGGTGGGGAGAAGGATTGGGGATATATAGAACAGCCTAGGATGAGACAGGGTGATGAGCAATGACCAGAGAAGCAGAGCCATCTCCTGTATTTAAGTGTAACTCATTCATTCCAAGATTCAGTGTATGGTGTGCTGTATGTGAAGTGATTTGACAGTTCACTTTGTGTTTTAACAACAGAAATGCCCGCTGATGCACGAGAGGATCATTCATGTTTACCAAAAGTCCCAAAGATGCCCAGGTCTTCCCGAAGCCCTACTGCTGCCCTCCCCAAGCCCTCAGCTTCCTTTGAACAAGTGTCTTCAGGGGTCCAGCTACCATTTGATCGCTATGGCACAGACAGTGATGAGCACCTTGAAGTCTTATTAAATTCCCAGAGCCCCTTAGGAAAGGTGAGCGATGTTGCTCTTCTAAAAATTGGGAGTGAGGAGCCTTCTTTCGATGGCATGATGGATGGATTCTCGGGGAAGGCTGCAGAAGACCTCTTCAATGCACACGAGATCTTGCCAGGCCCCCTCTCCCCGATGCACACTCAGTTTTCACCTTCATCTGTGGACAGCAATGGGCTGCCATTAAGCTTCACCGAATCTCCCTGGGAAACTATGGAGTGGCTAGACCTCACTCCACCAAGTTCCACACCAGGCTTCAGCTCCCTCACCACCAGTGGGCCCAGCATCTTCAACATTGATTTTCTGGATGTCACAGATCTCAATTTGAATTCTCCCATGGACCTTCACTTACAGCAGTGGTAGAATGCCTGATGCACAAGTGCTGAGGAAGACCAATAGAATTCCACAACCATAAATACTTACATTATTCAAACAGAAGAGCAGGAGTAGGGGAAGGAGGAGGAGATTTTTAAAAAGCAATGGAGACTTCTGTGACAACTAACAAGCACAAATAAGAGTCATTTATATATATATACTGTAATATTTACCAACATTCAATGACTGTTAATGATTTTAGCAATGCTCTTAAAAATGTGCTTTCTCAGATCAAAAATGCCGAAAAAGTTATTCTACTATCTTTTCAAACACCAGTATTTTTTCTAGCCCATAATTTAATTAAGGTATTGTTAGGGCATAACCAAATGTCATAAGCTTTTCTTTTAAGTTTATTGGACCTACTGTGGAAAGAAAATGTAAACTCTTTTGGGAGTACAGGGAAGTCAATCTATCAAAGGTTATGAAAGGCATACCTGTGATGGAGGCTGATTCTCATCTCTCCATTACCTGCCTTTCAAAATATCATTAAAGCCCAGTTTCAGTTACAAAGTTCTTGAGACAGAATAGAGGGACAGAACCAATTCTTTCCCAGGGAAGCAGAATCAACTCAGTGACCCTCTGCCACAAAGCTGCCCCATTGGAGTGGTTTCCAATCTTCTACCCAGGACTCTGTGTGGTCACTGATAAAAACCAACCCACCCAGAACTTCCCTCTTTCTCATCCAGTTAGCCAAATCACTCCCACTCTGTCTGTGGTGATAAGCATTGCCAAACAGGCAAGAAACTCCTGCCATGGAAGGTTCTCCAATGCAATACCTTTTAGTTCCAAAGACTAGTGATGACCACCCAAGCAGATCGAGGGGTCTGTGTAGCCTCAGGAAGCCCTGTCGGGGACATTCAGACAGCACTGGAGAACATTGTTTAACATATCATAGGAATATGTACCAAAACACCAATCCTTTCTTGCTCCTCTTTTGAGTATCTTTTTTTTCCTGCCCCAACATTGGGAGAAGAGGACTTCTTAGATCTAAGAATCTGCCATATTCCTAGTAAAGCCATATTTTAAAAAGCTAAAACTCCAGGTTTTCCTGGAAAATTCCTTCTCCATATGTATAATTTGCTGCCAAAGAAAGTTGAAAGAATGTCCTTAGGAAGAAACTGGTGATTTAGCCTATTAGTCACAAAGCTCATTCTACCCTCATTTGATGTACAGCAATCATTGATTTGGGTTGCTCTGGGGAAATTGGAAATCATTATATTGTAAAGATAAATACGAAATACATTAACAAGGAGAGAGTATTTTAGGTATGGATTTCTGAAAGAAAACACAATTGCATATTGAAGACGATGAAAGGGAGAACAGACATTGGTTTCGTGTGCATTCCTCATCACCTCTCAGGCTTCGGCTGGGAGCTGAAAAAGTCAGATGTCAGGACGGTCTCCCTGAGTTTCACTGTGGCTTCACCCCACTGTGTTTATAGTGTTGCATGCTGTAGAAAGTAGCTCCTGCTATTGTTTTTATAATTTAAATCACTAAGGCACTGTTTTTCTCATTTTGTAAAAAATGTTGTTCACTGTGCACTTACAGAGAAAATAACCAAAAATGTTGTGATTTTAGTTCTCTTTTGATAAATCAAAGATTTAGAAGTCATTCCATTGTTACCTTGTTAACTTGTGTGAACAGAGCGTTTTTGGTGACTGCTACTCTGGAAGCTGCCAGATCTTACTAGGGGTGCAGGGTATATATAAAACACACACACACACACATGCACATGTGATAGGTATATATATGTACTTACACATGTGTGTATGTGTATGCATCTTGAAAAGCAGTGTTACAGAGTTCTACACCAAAAACCTTTAAGCCTTGATCTGCTGTGAAATGATACTTGGCCTTTCTCACTGCGAGTTCCAATTAACCAACCAGACTACACGTTGCCTCTCTGTGTATGACTAATGGCTCCAGCCTGATGACTCACAGCCACTTGCTTACCATGAACAAACTCATCTTGACAATGAATATGGATGTGAAAAGACAGAATAGCTTCACCATTAGTAGCTGGAAATGGTAATACAGTCTCTCATAGAAGAGTATAAAAGGAACCTAAAATTGTTTTACATTCCTTGATCAGCATTGTGCTTTGAAAGATCCACATGGTAAATTTTTCATTTTGCTTTTATGTCAGTCATCAGAACCAAAATCTAGAGGGAAAATTATCAGTCTTCTCTCTGAAGCCAAAGAAGCATGGAAAGAAACCCTTATTAATACATTCCTCATATTGGTTTATTCCTCAGATGTTGACATTCTATTTGGATCTTAACAAAGCTTGCTGGTCAATATATTTTTCATGTGTTACATTGTGTGTTTTGTATGTTACCCCCCAACCCCCCTTACTTCCTTTGGAAAACAAACCATAGTGTCCCTACTCTGAGACTGTGGTCTGAGTATTAATTATTTTTTTCTTTGGGTATTTCTGTCTGAAGGAATAGTCTTGGTTGGGAGGCCTCTGTACTTTGTAAGTTTCTGCATCTTTAGGGATCCTTTTAGGATATTACCTTGTACTGATATACACACCTTACAGTCACCAAAAGATGGATCCTATTTGCTACTGCAAACCAACAAACTCAACACAGATTAGACACCTGGATTGTTGGTTGCAACCTCCTTCCACAATCTCCGCACAGCATATTCACTCTGTCTCTTCATGGCTCAGATGGAATGTTTGTGGAATAAAATTGGGAATAATTGGGAGAAAATTTATGAAGTTGGCTTCTCCCCATGGGGGAAGATAATTCATGATAAAAATTCATCTGTCTCCTATTAAGAATTTTTAAGTTCTTTTAAACTCTTAGTTGTGTACTCTAATTTGGTGACAAGTTGGACCTGACAAAAAGATGTACAAAGACTTATAAAGATGGCCACATTCATGTTTCTTACTTCCCTTAGGGCCTAAAAATGACTACCTGTGGTTTTCTTAATGCTCCTGAAATCTGCGGTGAAGCAGACCTGCAGATCTGCAGCCTCTGTGAATGCTGTTGTAGCCCCTTAGATTCATACTGATCCAGCCGAGTCAGAAAATTTATTCCTGAAAATGCTTTCATTAAGTCAGTACTCATTAGTAGTAGCCCTGCTCCTAACAATGTTATTGATATGACACACACTTTCTATTATAAGGGACAGAGAGGGAAGGGGAAAAAAAGAATGAAGGAAGGAGGGAAAAAAGGAAGAGAGGATGGAAGGAAAGAAGGGAAAAAGGTCCAAATTTCCTGATCTATGAACTTCTCAGTTCAACTGAGATACTGCATGATGAAAAGTCATTTTTTTAAAAAATTTTATTTATTTATCTTTAGAGGGGAAGGGACAGAGAGAGGGAGAGAAACATCAATGTATGGTTGCCTTTTGTGCATCCCCTGCTGGGAACTGGCCTGCAGGGAACCAGCCTGCAACCCAGGCATGTGCCCTGACTGGGAATCGAACCGCGATTGTCTGGTTCGCAGGCCCGCCCTCAATCCACTGAGCTACACCAGCCAGGGCGAAAAGTCATTTTTTAAAAATGTAATGATTGCACCATAAACGAGGAAACCAAGAGAGTCTCCACCGGAATAGTCTAAAGTCTAGGAACTGGGGACCTTCCCCATTCAAACATTTATTTCCAATCTGAAGAGAGAGAGAGGGAGAGAGGGAGAGAGAGAGAGAAGAGGAGAGGAGAGAGGAGAGAAACCATTCCAATCATTTGAGACAGTCCTTTTCAAAAATTATTTAAATTCTACCAACTCTCCTAGAAACAGATCATGGTCTGGCTGAAAATCCCTGCATCAAATTCACTCATCCAGTGGATAATTACTTGATGCTTAACCTGTGCAAATCACTAAAATCCTCAGATTTCCAACATCACACTGACTCAGCATAGGTGGTTTAGATTTTGGGTGGCTGGGGGTTTGCAGGTGCTTTGCGGATGGACACAGTCCTCGACCCATAAACCTTTTAGCTATGATAAAAAGGGGGGAAATCTTCATTTTTCCAAAGGGGAAGCAGAGGGCTCCTTTTTAGCTATGAGCTGTCACCCACCCAAATATTCTGTTCTTGTCTTTTTCTCAATGATCAAACAGCAGCAGTACATCACTTGGAGATCTTTCATTATATCCCACCACTTTAAACATTTGTGAGAGTTTTAAGATTCATTTTTATCTTTAAATACAAGGCCCCTTGAAAATCTGAGATTGGAAAAGAAAACATTTTTTTTTGCCCTACCACTTGTGCTCAGTCTCCATATCAAGCTCTTTCTACAACAAGGACACTTACCAGAGGGGAGGGATTATCAAAGGTGAGCCTCCATCCCTTAGCAGAAAAGCTGCAGAGTGGGAAGCCATGTGGGCCTCCCATTTGAGGTTTGGCTGCATTTTCAAGGTAGGAAACCCCAAAATGTGGGCATACTGTGTGCTTCAGATATGAGAGAACTTGGAGTGAAAAGAGTCTGGGGTCTTTGTTTTCCTATAAATCCAGTATGAATCTGCAAGGTGGTTCAGATGCTGAAATTGCTAATGCTTTATTATAAAGATGATATTAATAGACATGCAGAGTCTGGGTTCTGAAAAGAAAAAAAGATGGCCTTATAAGGCTGAGCTCTGCTCAGGTTGTATGAAGGAGCTGGGTTCTATTCAAGAATCCACATTTTTGGGGGACCCCAGGCTAGGTTGGATAATGTATGAAAAATGACTTTAAGACAAAAAAAGATTTTGGAAAAATTTTGCTATCATCTGCCAGGAAAACTGTAGGGTTGACTGGGTTCAATAACATACCAGTAAGTTTTCCTTCTGGTTCTAGGATTTGGCCATTTTCCCTGTGAATTTAGACAACTCCTAAACATCTCTTGTGCTTATTTTAACCACCTGCTGGTACCTAAGTTTTCTATGAATGTTTTAACAGCTCCTGAGTGTTTATGGAAAGGGAGTAGAACAATGCGGATTCCGGATGCCATTCTAATGTTTTCCAAAGGAAGGGAACCCACACTGCTCCCAGTGCCCCTGCCCAGTGTGTCTACCTGCAATGAGGAAAGAGGGTGATGCCGTGCTGGGTGCTTGAAACCTTCTCTTGCTGCAACACATCGAGGTGCTTTGTAAAGGAATCAAAAGACCAAGCATACATTTTCTATGGGGCCTCTGTGTGGCATTGTTTTCATGTTGGTCTCCTTTGCTCAACTATGCATAAACGAGAAAGAAGTGTAGGTTACCAGGAAGAGAAAAGAAGCAATGGCTAAAATACCAAAGTTGGCATGTGTTCTTTTTATATACATATATTTTTAAATAAAATGTTTATTTAAAAAAGATATAAGCTTCTTTTTTGACTATATGATGCACGAGGTACTGTACTATGCACATTAAGTCTGTCATTTCCTTTTACCCTCACGATGGTGCCATGAAGTGGCACTATTATTAACCCTATTTTATTATCCCTATTTTACACATGAAGACACCAAGTTTCAAAGAATTTAAGTTGGTTAAGGTTACATACCTAAGAAATGGTGGAGCCAGTAGGCAAGCTTTGCTTATCATCAAAGCCCCTGATCTTCAAAACTGCATATGTCACCTTCCCTTATTGATGGTCCTACCAGTAACATGAGGACTTTCATGAAAAGGCCTTACTTTCAAGGTACATATGTGCCTATTAAAATACATGCACACACAGCTTAGTGAACCCAATGTTTTCATTAGTTTAGCAACTAAGCAAACTTAATTAAAAAATTAGGCTTCAAGATGACCTGTAAGATATATATAGACTACCTAAGTAGGACCCAGGATTTACCTGCTTTTCTCTTCTAACTATATTCCTGACTGTGATATTCACATCCATGATTACATAAAATACATGTACAAACAAATGTTGTGGAAAGAGCTCTGGAATGGGAGTCTCTTAGAACTGACTTTATCCCACGTCATGGCTCTGCCTTCCCACTTTGGCTTTATTTTCTGGTGAGCTCTCCCCATGTAGAGGCAAAAAGTTTGCAGGTTGCCAGCAGCTGCAAATGTGCATCTGACCGGATTAGCACTTCCAGCCAATGAGACTATCTCACTCCTGAGTCCCAGCAGGAATCTCTTGGTGGTCCAGAGAGGAGACAGTCATAACCATTCCTCTCACCTTGACAGTGAGGCATAGATTCATTCAGTTCACTCACATAGCCTGGGTTCCCTCATCCAGCCCTGAGCTGGACAGGGGGAGTGTTTGAATCTCATGGGCTGTCTGTAGAGAAGGTGAGATTTTCTGAGGACAAATCATGGTGCTATTACCAAAAAGAAGCATGATGCCAAAAAGACACAAGCTGCAGATTTCACTACATAGACCCTGCTTTCAAATTGGTCATCTAGTGAAGGAGACAAACAAGTACTTAAGGAATGATACTTACTCTAATTGTAGGAGTAAGTGCATACTATGTACTACAGAAAGGGCCTTTCATAAAGCCATGGGCAGGAGCATGGTTCAGAAGGACTCTCCAGAGTAGACCATTAAGTCAAGATACTAACGACATAGGAGTTAGCCAAGCAAAGGCTGAGGAAAAGAGCATTTCAAGCAGAGGGAAGCCTGTGCAAAGGCCTGGAGATGAGAATTTACCATGTTTAAGGGGGTATAAGGAGTTCAGGATGGCCAGAGATTAAAGCAAGGAGGCAGAGGGAATTAATGGTGGAGATGTGGGAAGTGTAGAAGTTGGGAGCTGTATTAATTTTTCTAGGACTGCTGTAACAAAGTATCACAAACCAGACATCCTAAATGGTGGAAATTAATTGTCTCGGCCAGAGGGCTCAAGTCAAGGTGTTGGCAGGGCTGGTTCCTTCTGAGATCTGAAGGAACAATCTGTTCCCTACCTCTCTTTGGCTTGTAGTCGGCCATCTTCATGTTCACATGGCATTCTCCCTGTATCTTCTTACATGTGTCCCTGTTCAAATTTCTTCTTTTATAAGGACATCAGTCATATCGGATTAAGTCCCACCCTAAAAACTTCATTTTAACTTAATCACTTCTGCAAAGACCCTATTTCCAAGGTGACATTCCCCAGGAATAAAAACTTTAACATATAAATTTGGACCTGGCAGCCACAGTTCAACCCGTAATAGGAAACAAATAGGGGCCAAATCATGAAGGGCCTCATAAGACATGTTAAGGATGAACTTAACTTTAAAGCAGTGGGGCATCATGAAAAGTTTTAAGCAAGGAAACACTGTAATAATCTTTGTGTCAGAAAGATAACTGGTTACACTGTGGAAATGAATTGGAGTGACAAAGACAATGAAAGAGAAACCTGATAAATCTTTGTGAGTTAGTTTGGTAGGTTGCCGATGTCCTCATTATTCCAAAGACATAAAAACTTAAAGAAAAATGATGAGTAACCCAACATATCAGATTTGACATATCAAGAATGATAGGATGGGCCTGGGGGTAAGAGTGAAAATAGTGACTTAAGAACCTGTTGAAATACACCAGCCAAGAGGCAAATTACAGTTCTACTAAGAAAGTGCTGGTAGGAACAGCAAGATGAAGGTAGATTTGAAACAAGTTAATGGAAGGGAAAGTATAAACTTGATTATTGGATGTGGATAGTGCAGGAGAAAAAGAATTTGGATTTGGGGGAGGGATAGTTGGATGTTAGGTATATGTTAATTTCATTCAAAGAAGCAAAAGGCCAGAATGAGGAATAGTTACTGGATAGGAAAAATTACAAATTTGATTTTTAAGGGCCTAGTGCCTATGGGGCCTCAAGTCAAAAGACTCTGTAGAGAAGTCTGGAACACAGAGGGCCTTTGCAAAGCAATTTAAATACTGGAGTGCTCAGCATACAGAAGATAACTGAAATCACAGGAATGGCTATGGCCATGGGTGGATGACAAGAAAAGAGGATCCTGAGGGAGACCAACATTTAAGATATTAGTGAAGGAGCCCTGTTTGGTGCGGCTCAATTTGTTGGACAACAAGGTTGGGGGATCAATTGCCAGTCAGGGCACATGTCTAGGTTGCAGGTTCAGTCCCTGGTTGGGGCATGTATGAGAGGCAACCAACTGATGTTTTCTTTCTCACATTGATGTTTCTCTCTCTCAAATCAATAAAAACATTAAAATATATTTTATATATTTATATTTTTAAATAATATACATCTTCATATATAAATACATGACTAGTAAATAATACATTTAGATATCTAATTAATTATCTATAAATTAATAATTAATGAATTAATAGTAGCAAAGGAGAAGGAAAGGGAATGGCTAGAAAACCAGGGGGAAAATGAGGAGAAGGTGGTGTCCCAGACACTGAAGCAGAAATTTCAAGAAAAAGGGAGGCTTTAGTCATGTCTAATACCACTAGTTCCATTAGGATGAGGACTAAAGAGTGCTGTTTGATTTACTAGTAAGAAATTGGTTGGTAACCAAGAGGAGAACATCTTGGGTGCAGTGCTGCAGAAATTAAAAGGAAATGAGGAAGAGGAGACAGTGAATGCCGGCATGCCTTCAGGAAGCATAGCAATGTGAGAAAGAAGCACACAAGGCCATAGCAAAGAGTCGAAATCTTACAGGGCTGATTTTCAAGAGGAAAGATATGTGACAGAATATCAAAGCTAATGAGAATTAGATAGTTTACACAAGAAAAAGTGGTAAAGAATTGTATTTAGGTTGATTTGAGAAGAGGAAAGAACTCTGTGCTGTGACAAGAGAGAAAGAGAAGGGTGGGTGAAGATGTGGGTACACTGACAGGGTGGTAGTTAAGACATGAAGGGAGTACTTATTTGGTGGCTTACAATTTATACTTGAAACAAGAGGGAGAGATGATGTTCATCTATGGGAAGAAAAGGGTGGGGCAGAGGTGTGAATAAAAATGGAGAGAGGTAGAACTAAGAAGAAAACAGAAGGAAATACAGAAAGAGGCTGAGGCAGAGTTGGAAAACTTGGCTGGAGATCATCCCCTCGGCACAATGGTGGGATTACCAGGAACAAAATCCATAGCCAGGCAATTGGCAGCAGAGAGAAAAAAAGAGGTGGGTGGAGCCAAATTTAGGATGCTGTGGGAGTAAGTATACAAGTAAGAATACAGAATTGGGTCATTGAGGATATAACTGAAAAGAAGATAAAATGGTGAACTCTGTGGTATGCAATGCATTATTCTAGGGAAATAAGTGAAGACTGGAGACAGAAAGTAGTGGAATCAAGAAAGTAAAAGCACTTTTGGCCAAGATGGAGGCAAAGGAAGATACACTTTATCTTGTTGCACAACCAGAAGAAGGACAACAAATTAAAAACAAAAAATAAGAACTGCCAGAAAACTGAACTGAATGGAAGTTCAACAACCAAGGAGTTAAAGAATAAACTTTTATCCAGACTGGTAGGAGGGGTGGAGGGGGGCATCTGGATGGAGGGGACAAGCGACAAGGCAGCCGGGCTGGCAGACCAGGCAGGGTGATGGCTGGTGGAGTGGGTGGCCCCACATTTGTGTGAGGATAAACTGGAAGAAACAACTGGGGAGTGAGATAGACTTTGAAACCCAGGATTCCAGCACAGGAAAAGAAAGCCTCAAAAGCTCTGGCTGTAAAAACTTGAGGGGGTTGTGGTGGCAGGAGAAACTCTCAGCCTCACGGGAGAGTTTGTTGGAGAGACACACAGGGTCTTAGAACATACATGAACCCACCCATCTGGGAATCAGCACCAGATGGGCCCAATTTGCATGTGGGAAGCAGAAGAAGTGACTTTGAAAACTGGCCAAGAGCTGAGCAAGTGGCATTGTTCCCTCTCTGACCCCTCCCCCACATACAGCACTACAATGCAGTGATGTCGGTTGCCTTGCCCTGGCAAGTGCCTAAGGCTATGCACCTTACAACTGACAGCTATGCCGGGACAAAGACCTATGGTCCAAATAAAAGAACAGATCAAAACTCCAAAATAGAAGTAAGCAACTAAGCCAACCTATCAGATGCAGAGTTCAAAACACAGGTAATCAGGATGCTCACAGAAATGGTTGAGTATGGTCGAAAACCAGAGGAAAAATTGAAGTCTATGAAAAGTGAAATAAAAGAAAATGTACACGGAACCAACAGCAAAGGGAAGGAAACTGGGACTCGAATCAACACTTTGGAGCAGAAGGAAGAAACAAGAGTTCAAAAAAAATGAGGAGGGGCTTAGTGTGGTGGCGACTTTGCCCTCAAGTCCCCCCATCTGCCATGGATGAAAGTAAACACTACCAAGACATGGTCTACTTGGGGAAGAGAGGTAGCCAGTTTCTCAGAGAAAAA